CTCCTGATTGACAGCTGGGGCTCCATGATAGTAAGAAGGTCAAGCATAAAACTATAAAACCTTTGGCTGATAGTAAAAGACCTTTAGAAGGTTTTAAAATCCATATTTCTCGCCCCATGTCTGTTTTTCTGTTGCCTATACCCCCCAGTTGCAATGAACTATATTCCCAATCAGCTGTGTTCTGTTGACTTTCCATATTTCAGAAAAGTATGTTTCATATTTCACTATCAATTCTTTCTCTACAATTTAACACAGTACTTTTTTTCTATACATCAAGTAAATGGAAGTAAATTCAAAGTCATATGTGTCATTTTTTTTAATATCATCACTGAACAATTCTCAAGATGGGACAAGGTAAATTTTTGTCATTCTTCTCTCTTAAAATCCCTTCAAACCTCTATGTACCCCTATCAAACTTAAATAGGAAGCCCTGTAGGGATTAGGTTGGGGCAAGAAATACAGGGTTTTAGAGTAGCAGACTGGAAGCCTGTCTTAACTTAACATTGCAATACTTGGTTCATTATTGATTACATTAGTTTGATTTTTTAAAAAAATATTACCTCTCTGGTCATTGAAATTTTTGCCACCTTAATTTATGCATGAGGCAAATATCTCATTCATTTTATTCTTGTCCAGACTTGCCAGAGAGAGAATCCCCTTTTCTTATTGTTTAATCTCAGAGAGAGAGCGTGTCTTAATCGGGGGAATAGAGTGCAAAGATTTAATTGAGAGAGTAGCTAAAACTGGAAAGAAACCGAGTATTATAAAATCACTAATATTTTCTGCACAATTACAATAAAATGACCTTTATCTGTCAACAGATTTGTGATTATGCCATGAAATCATTCTTATATAGGGAAGCTCATGCTTTTTATACCCTAAATCTAAGAGCATAAGGAAGAACAAAATGGCAAATATTAATGGAATTTCAATTGCCTCTGGATAAAGAGAAAATGTGATTTTAAAAGCTCCAAAAATGGGAGGAGGAGGAACCTGGGTCCTTTCCTGAATTTGTTTCCTAAATCCTTCAAGAAATTAGAAAAAGTAATTTATATGTTCTCCATTCCTTTAAAAAGTAAGGCTCTCTGCATGAAAAATGTAATCCTTTGCTGTTTAATAATAATAATAATAATAATAATAATAATAATAATAATAAATAGGTGTCATTTGTTTAAAAGAAAAGAATTAACACTGCTTGGGTCACTGCATTCTAGTGACAGTAACAGGCGTAGTTAACCATGATTATAACAGCAAATCTTTCAAAAAAAATTCTTTTCAAATCATGTTCTTTTCCTTGAAAAAGGACATACTGAATAAAGTTATAGAATGGTGCTACACTTTGGTTCATGCAGTCACACTTCCTTAAATTTTTGAGAAATTTCTTTAGGACTCCAAATACCTCATCATTCAATTATTTTATAAGGACCATGTTTCTTATGGTATAGCCCAAATAGATTTTTGAGCAGGTTGAAAATATAATGCAACTTTGCTAAGTGCAGTATGTATGAATAAAATAAAATAAACACTCAGATTTGATGTTTTATGTTAAAAAAGGATAGTTTGAGGGAAGGATATCTTGTTCAAACAGCTTAATGTTGTATGATGAAATTGAGACCCATAGAACCAAAGCAACAAAGTGCTATTAACCAACATAAAAACCTAAGATTAAAAAGAAAATATGGAGAATTTTGAATAATCCTGAAAAAAATGGAGATTTCTTATACTTTGAAGCATAAGTAATTGAAATTATATATCTAAATTCAAACATGTCATATTATTTGGATTACCCAAGTCCTGTAAGAATTATTATAATAATTTGACCATGTACTTTGTAGTGTCCTGAAAACAATATGCTAATTTAAATTTGTAAGTTGCAAAATGACCATCTTCCTCAAAGTGGAGCAGCATTCAACAGGGAATCATTCTCTTACAGAGAGGTCACTGAGACCTGTGGACAGGCTGTTGATTTGATTTCTAGAATCTATTGCCACGCCTACCATTTACCCTCACTATTTTCAGTCTGGCTTCAATATTAATTCGTGTGATCAACTCCATCTCAGTGTTTGATGTCTGATTTAAAATCTACTTGTATGGTGAAGTTCCAACACTATCCAAAGCTAAGACTATAACAACATAGGTTTGTGTAAGTAAATTACAGAACAGTTACATCTAATCTCTATATCCAATAATAACACCCCAAAAAGGGCTGTGTTTGGAAATTAGATAACAATCACATGTTAAAGGGGTACAGAGCAAGGAATAAAGTCAATTTTTTCCTATATGGAAGAGGTGAAACAGAAGAGTTATTGGAAAACACATGTTCTCTTTAAATTTGTCACATTCTACAATTTTAAGATATCTATAAATAATTTTATAATGACTGTCAAGAATAAGCTCTCTCAGAAATCTTATGATGTAAAGGTAGAAAGAGGCAAATCTATACTCATTAATAAAACAAAACATTTGCTTTATGTATATTGATAAAATAAAATATTCATGATTTTTAGTTTATTTTCTTTGAATTTATTAATAATCTTTATATATTTATATATGTATGGCTTTGAGCAAAGACAAAAGAAGTATTCTAACTCATCCCTGATCATACAGTTATAAGAATCAGCTATTCTATTATCTTCCCAGCAGCAGAAAGGCCAACCTTTTCAATAATACATTTCTTTCTGTACAGATTAAAACTCCATACTTAGGGGCTTAACTATGTACAGAGAAAAGAGGTCACTTTTCAGCTAGCAATGGACTTTTATATTACAGGAATGTGAGTCATCTTTTTTCTTAAGTATATATATACATTCATACATATATATGTATATAATTTACCCTGTACCATGTTATTAGTTTAACATATAAACCTTATATTTTTTTGTCCATTCTATTACAAAGTGAATAAAAATTGTATGGTTGCACTGAAAGACCATGCAATTCAATTTTGCCTATGTTTCCCAATAGTGCTCAAAATAAAAAAACAAAATTTTTATATATAAAAATATTTCACTACCAAACCCATTAATCCTATCAAATGTAAACCTTTAATAATTTAAAGGACCAATACATGATCTTAATAAGTTGAAGTTAGTTCTCATATTATAATAAAATAAAGGAGTTTTGTACTGATATGTAAATGGTCTTGCAGCTTTTCCATAAGCTCTAGGTAGACTGAACAATCCCTTTTTCACGTCATTCCTGACATGCCATCATATGTCACCAGCGTGTTAGAGATAACATCACATTGACTAGCATTGTTGATTACTTCCACACAAGTTGGGATCTGTGAGAATTTAAACATAATTCATTTTGGTATTATACGTATCATATCATAAAAGGCATAACAGGCAGCATGGATCCACTTTAGAGTTTTTGCTTTATTTTTCTTTTCTGTCCTTAAGTCTGTCTGGAGGCCCTGCCCCATATAATGTGTAAGCTTTGTAAGTTCTTATCTGTATCACCAGTGTCCAAGGTACAGAAGACCGTCCCGTTAGGTCATGCTCTTAATTTGGGTTATTTACATAAGTCTATTATTAGGAATCTTCCAATTGTGTTCCAGTCATCCACCACATTCGTGGGGTGCATTAGGCACAAATGATTACTAAGGGACTTCTTTGAAAAAGAAGCAGGTGTTTGCAGACCATGGAGAGTCAAGGAAACAAACGAACAAACAAACAATGCTCACAGACATTACACTTTATCCCTGCCTTCTATCACCATGTCCGGACTATTTTCAGCACGTTTAAAATAACAAACTTCCTATGGAAGGGCTATGTTAGTCACCACATGCCTTAAGATTTACTAACCATTTAGTTACAATATACATAGAGTGAAATGTGTGTTCCCAAACAGACGTGATGCTGTATTGTATTTATTTCTTCAAATGAACACCACAGTACACTATCAACTACAGTGAAGACATAGACCACACTTGCAACTCCAAATCAAGCTGTGGTTTACAAATAATTATTTAAATAATAATAATAATAGTAATAATATTAAATAAATGTGAAAACCTCACTTCTAGACTTAAGTCAGAGATCCAAGTCAGCCTTATAGGACTTTTAAGATAGGCAATTAATGAATTGTTATACTCTTCTAGAAACAAGAAATACTGTTAAG